GGCTACAAGAACTATTGATCCGATTCAACCCATTTTTGAAACAAAGACATACTAATATCGATGGTTTCATTTATTTATTCTATTATATGAATTTCAATTATATATCCAACACAATGGATGATATTTACGGTAAAAAGTCAACTATAGGTACTGGGGTCCACATATTCAGTACTTAGGCGCTTGAACAGTTTTGGTTCGATTTAGGCAATTTTGTGCATACTTTAAACGTATTATTCACGCAAAGTTTTACGCCGATATAATCATTGTTGCTTGTTTGCATAGTGGAAAGTGAAAGAATCAAGTGGAATTTAAAATGGTGTTATATGGAAAATAGGCGTGGTTGTAATCCGATTTCGTCCATTTTCGCACCATAACATAGAAATATAAGAATATAAGAATCTTATGTACCAAATTTGGTTGAAATCGGTTAAGCAGATTCCCAGATAAGGGGTCTCACCTAAAAGTGGGCGGTGCCACGCCCACTAACTAATTTTAAACACTGTTCCTATGAAGTGATCAAATACCATCCCAGAGATAAAATTGAATGTCTCTGGCGTGTTTAGTGCTTGGTTTATCGCGCTTTTAGTATTTTATAACAGTACCGTTATATGGGGAGTGGGCGGGGTTGTCACCCGATTTCCCCCATTTTCACACCGTAGGTAGAGGTGCTAAACACATTTGCTTCCAGTGAATTTTGATATTATAGCTTTAGTAGTTTAGGAGATATGCACATTAAACCTATTAGGGGCGGGAGCACGCCCACTTAAAAAAATTTTTTAACTGCAGATGCCCCTACCTATTGTGATTTCGTGTACCAAATAACAGTCTTGTATCTTATTGCGGAGCTTAGTTATGACAATTTATTTGTTTTTGATTAATGGCGTTTTGCCGGCGTGGCAGTATTCCGATTACGCCCATCTGCAATACCAACCGTCTTACTGTACCAAGACACATGTGTACAAAGTTTCATAAAGATATCTCAATTTTTACTCAAGTTACAGCTTGCACGGACGGACGGACGATCATACAGTCACCCGGATTTCAACTCGTCTCTTCATCCTGTTCATATACATATACATAACCCTATATCTAACTCGATTAGTTTTAGGTGATACAAACAACCGTTAGGTGTACAAAACTATTATACTCTGTAGCAACATGTTGCGAGAGTATAAAAATAAACTCACTAATAATAAAATAAGTAATGGGATATCGTCAAAACACAAGAAGAAATTATCTTTCGAATTAAAGTTCTGTTGATGCCGATTCAACCAACTAATTAACATTGGATAAAATGGTAAAAAATTTAACTATTAAACTATGCAATTGAAATTTCTCTAAAAATTTTAAAAATATTGTATGTGGTGGGCATAGAGGTTGTGCGTAAATCGGTGGAGAAGAAAATGAATGCTGTGCCGAAGTTCTACGGCTTGTACATAATCTATCGTCATTTGACCTTTTTATGTGAGGTAATGACAGCTTACTGAATAGAAGTAATTAAATGATTAATTCTAGAATATGTATGTGTATGTGAATACTTTATTTATTTACATTTTTATTAAAAATAGTTTCTTCTGGTTCATTTTAAAACCAAATTTAAAGTGGAAGATTTCTTTATATTAACATAAAATCTTTTGTTCGGTTAGAAAATGTCATCAGCTGAAAATTTACATTTTGTTTGGCTACTTTAATATAGTTTACCCATGTGAAGCGATTTTTTTGTTACCAAAACAATGTTAAGCTAACCAAACAAAATGTTATGGAAAGTAAACAATGTTAAAATTTCAGTACAATTTTGGAGGTTTCTTAACGTGTAGCCAAGGTAACCGCCGTAGATAACATATCTATGTTAAGTACCATGTTAAATATTGTAGCCCTCAAATTTTAATATGAATTCTGTACAAACTTGCATGAATTTATTTTTAAAATATAATACATTACTTTAACAAATACATAAGAAAATAAATATTTTCGGCGAAAATTCTTAAGCTGGACTCCAATATCACCTTTTAAGTTTTTAAATTATAAAATTTAAGTTACGTATTAGTATTAAGTACTAAATGAAATAATTAAAATTACTACAAGTATTATGTAGTTAGGGTATATGTGTGTACCTAATTTGCGAATATTAAAAATGAGTAAATTGATGTATCTGTTATGTGTTTAGTTTTTAATGTACAATATATACATATAAACATGTATATATAAATGCTAATAATTAAAAGCTAAACTAAAATAATTACTAAAAGTTTGTAAAAATAGAAAGAATAAATAGAACAATAGTGTATGAACACGTAAATTCTAAAAAAAAATACTAAATAAAAATAAATGAGAATTTCCATTATTATATTTGTAAGACAAAAAGTACATTAGGCAAGGGTAATCAATACATAACCAAACAAAAAACCCATAGAAACGGTCGAGGTAACCTATCAACCAATTTTCTGTGACCTATAGGTAACCATTGCAATAACCCAACAAACTATTTTCAGTAACAGAGGGCTAACCCAACAAATAGCCAATAAAAAGGGCACTGTCAACCAAAAACTAACAGAGTTTTGCTTTCCAAAATAGTTGGCGAATTAGAGCAGTAAAATATATGTAGCATTTGCGCAAAAGCAATGAGAGAGAGCGAGAAAGATAACCACACCGACATGTAGTGAAAGAGGAGAAATAGTTACTTTTTTACCAAGGCACTTGACATATCTACATATATTCGTACATTACATATAAACGCAATTCCCTGGTAGTGAAAAAATGCCAACAACGGAAGAAGGTCAAATATTTTGATTGTGTATGATTACGAAAATGCCGACGGCAAAACGAAAATATATGCTAGTGCTGCCCTCATGATGTCATATGTATGAATTATCTAAGGAAATATATATATCGAAGCTTTTTTCAACTACTATTTTTCTTAACTCATAATTGATGGTAAATTAAATAAAAAAATACATAAATAAACAAGTAAGGAAGGGCTAAGTTCGGATGTAACCGAACATTTTATACTCTCGCAAAGTCAAATGGTATACTCGTTTGAGATTTCTTTGTGGATTGACTGATATTTTCGGTAGAAGGTCAACAATAGGCACTGGGGTCCACATATTTAGTACTTAGGGGTTTGAACAGTTTTGGTTCGATTTAGACAATTTTTGGCCGCAAGGTGGCATACTTTAATTGCATTATTCACGCAAAGTTTTACCCCGATATAATCATTGTTACCTGATTTGCATAGTGGAAAGTGAAAGAATCGCACTATAACATAGAAATATGAAAGGAACATTATGCACCGAATTTGGTTGAAATCGGCTGAGCGGATCCCAAGATATGGGTTTTCACCTAAAAGTGGACGGTGCCACGCCCCCTGTCTAATTTTGAACGCGGTTCCTATTAAGTCATCTTATACCATCTCAGAGATAAAATTTAATGTCTCTGGCGTGTTTAGTGCTTGATTTATCGCGCTTTTAGTAGTTTTTAACAGTACCGTTATATGGGGAGTGGGCGGAGTTGCCACCCGATTTCAACTATTTTCACACCGTCAATAGAAGTGCAAAAACATTTGCTTCTAGTGAATTTTGTTATTATAGCATTAGCGGTTTAGGAGATATGCACATTAAACCTATTAGAGGCGGGACCACGCCTACTGTTTAAAAAAAAGTTTTAACTGCAGATGCCCCTCCCTAATGTGATCCTGTGTACCAAATAACAGTCTTGTACCTTATTGCGGAGCTTAGTTATGGCAAGTTATTTATTTTTAATTAATGGCGTTTTATGGGCGTGGCAGTGGTCCGATTACGCCTATCTGCAATACCAACCGTCTCACGGTACCAAGAAACATGTGTACAAAGTTTCATAAAGATATCTCAATTTTTACTCAAGTTAGAGCTTGCACGGACGGACAGACGGACGGACGGCCGGATGGACAGACAGTCCCCCGGATTTCAACTCGTCTCTTCATCCTGATCATTTATATATATATAACCCTATATCTAACTTAATTAGTTTTAGGTGATACAAACAACCGTTAGGTGAACAAAACTATTATACTCTGTAGCAACAGGTTGCGAGAGTATAAAAATGCAAGATATTTATCTTAATTTTCTCTTAAAAATTATATTGAAAATAATTCCCGGTATAAACTAACGTTTCAAGAAATTTTCACTTTGAAAATCCTATCCCAAAATGTATTACTGACCGAAAAAACTGCAGCCTATATCAAACAGTATCCAAAAACCCCTTTGAAAAACTCTAGAGCCTTAACATAAATCAAAAAATTGCCAAAATCATAAAAGCCATTAAGAAATCTACTAACGTATCCATACTTCAAACAAGTCCGTCCTTCCACAAAAACTCCATTCATTGGTGGAATTCCGAATTAAACACATTACGCCAAAAAAACAAAACAGCTGACATAACTACAAAGAATGCCAAACAATTGAAAATCTTATATGCTACAAAAGAGACAATGCATTTTTCAGGCGCATAGTGAAAGAAGCAATAAGAGCAAACTTTGAAAAAATTACAGCCTCCATATCACCGGCATCACACCAAAGACAATGTGGGCTGACATAAAATCGTTAACATGAGTCCCCCTATACACTAATTAGATCAATTAACTACAATCAAAGTCTACTTATTTCTTCAATAGAAATAGCAAATTCCTTTGCAGAAACGTGCTCAAATTACTCAAATGACTAAAACCTTTCGTCAGATCACAAGGTTTCGAAAAGAGTCACTATAGCCAAATCATACATTTTTCAAAGGGAAAACCCCAGCATATGACGGAATATCCTACCGCATGCTCAAACATCTTCCCACTGACGTCAAAATACGACTCCTGCACACCCTTAACAATATATACGATTTTCGCCGCTACCCTCACATATGGCGCACTGCAATCGTTTTACCCAAACCCAATAAACCACAAATAAAATTCGCGGATACCGCCCAATCTGTCTGTTGCGATGCAGGAGTAAAATTTTTGAAAAAAAACTTGGTTAAAAGACTAATGTGGTTTTATCCAATAGCAATTTAATAAGTCGCAATCATTTCGGTGGCATTCAAAAGCAAGCAAAGCACGACATACTCTCTGCTCTACATCCAATATTACGCATTAAACGCTCTTTCGCAAAAAATCATGTCACTATATAATCGACAGACTTCGAAAAGGTGTTTGATCGTGTACGTGTACATACGATATTGTCACAGCTTGAAAAGTGGAGCCTTGGTCAGAAAACCTTTCACATCATAAAGGCCTTCATGACAAACCGCTCTTTTCGGGTAAGGAAAAATGACACTTTGTCAGCCCATTTCAACCTATACAATGGTGTTCCACAAGGATCATTTGATCATTTGAACAAGTATCAAATATAATACCAAACCATGAAAATATAAGGTTTTCGCTTAATGCAGACGATGCTATAATTTTCACCAACATCAAAGATATAAAAATTGTAAATAACATATTTTTTAAACATGTTAACAAACTATTAACTTAGGGACTGCACTCTGGCGCGTCCCTCTCTATAGAAAAGTTTAAATATTAAACATCTACAACAAAAAAAAAACAAATTTTCACCTTACTAATGTTATGTTCAAAAAAAACCTATCGGAATGGTAAATGATCTGAAAATATTAAGAATTATTATTTTATTTATATTATTAGCATAAAAACAAACCTGACTGCCAGATTAAATATCATGAAATATCTTCAACAAACAAATCTTTTATAAACATTCATTAACTAATAAACTTCACTAGAGTAATAATACTATCAACAATCGATTATGGACTCCCAATTTACGGATGGTGCGAAAACACCAACCTAAACCAAATAAATGCCCCATACCACCAAGAAGTACGCCTTGTATCAACGATTCAACATCTCCTGTCAAATGCGTCCTAGTGGAGGCCGGAATACCATCCATAAGAGACAGACTACGTAATGCCACTTAAAAACTCATTCCACAGCTGGTTAACTCACAAAATAAAATCTTAAACACGGTATTTATTAACGCCTTTACCATAAACGGAATTATCAAACAAAAATTAACTATCCGTAGGTGTGTCAGTTATTGCAAAACGCTACAAATCAGTAAGCACGCCACAAAGGCAAAAACAGTCCAAAAATCCCCGTGAATGCGACACCATACTCCACAAATATAATAAAACGATGTCAACCCTGTCATTAATCGAAAATTATTAGAGGATATTCAGGATATTTTCAATGACAACCCGTTATTAAACAACATCAGAAATTTTCTTATCAGATGCTGCAAAAAAAAACGAAGTCAAAAAAGCGAAATGATTTCGCCGACTCCGTCGAACGTTCCGCAGGCAAAGCAGCATACCTAAATTTCCACACAACCGAACCAAAAAAATTTGTCAAATTCCATTGCTCGCAGTTTAGCTGAAAAAGAGGTAATAGAGTGGCAGCAGAACCCCCATCGATACGTCAAATTGAATCTAAAGGGCACAAGGCTACATACCCAAAAACAACCCCAGTAATGGCTTGTCAACGAACAGGCCACAGTAAACTGACACAGGACTACCTCTTGATAGGAACTTCCAAAAAACCATGTCCCTTCTGCAAAGGATTATTATCCATAGTACACCTAATCCACGACTGCAAAAAACTAAAATCCACGCGAAAAAGAATCTTCCGGCAAGTTGCTCCAAGAGTTTACTTACAATCATCACAAAAACAAATATCGAAGTAATAAACCAATTTTTCAAGTAACTAGACTTAAGCAAGAAAAGCTAATTAAAAACAAGAAAAAACGTTAACTTTGGTTGCACTGAAGCTATTATACCCACAAATACAAAGGCTCCTTACAAGAACTTGATTCCGATCGCTCAATTTGTATGGCAGCTATATGATATAGTCATCCGATCTATACAATTTCTTCGGAGATCAGATGATTGTCTTGAATAGTAATCCATGCCAAATTTCGTGAAGATACCTCGTCAAATGAAAGAGTTTTCCATAAAAGTATTTGATTCTGATCTTTCAGTTAGTATGGCAGCTGTATGCTATAGTCGTCCGGTCTGTACAATTTCTTAGGAAATTGCAGTATTGTCTTACATAATAATTCATGCCGAATTTCGTGAAGATAACACGTCAAATGAAAGAGTTTTCCCTACAAGTACTTGATTCCGATTGTTCATTTTGTATGGCAGCTATATGCTAAAGTCATCCGATCTAAACAAATTCTTCGGAGACTATATCGTTGCTTTCGGGAATAACTCATACCAATATCGTGTCAAAGATACCACGTCAAATTAAAAGGTTTCCTATACGAGTACTTTATTCGGATTGTTTACTTTGTATGGCAGCTATATGCTATAGTGGTCCGATATCGGCCGTTCCGACAAAGGAGCAGTTTTTTAGTGAGAAAAGGACAGGTGGACAATTTCAGATGGATAGCTTAAAAACTGAGGGACTAGTTTGGATATATACATGCAGACGGACAGACAGATGGACATGGCTAAATCAACTCAGCTCATCATGCTGATCTTTTATGTATATATTTTCTAGAGTCTCCGACGTTTCCTCCTGGGTGTTACAAACTTCGTGGCAAACTTAATATACCCTGTTCAGGGTATAAATATACATAACAAAAATAAATGAATTGTGGACGTGACAAACACCATATTAAAACATAATAATAATATCAATACCATTTCGCAAAACGGAGCCGTAGGCCCTGGCAGGGCTCCCTTTTTTTTTTAGATATTATATTTGTATACTATATCTAAATTGAGTAATAATTAAATAATTATTATCTTTCACTTGACACTATTTTTGGGGGTCCTCGTGTCCCCGGTATAATAATAGCACACGCGACTTCACTTTATCCTTTTTATTTGAAATAAAGTTACAATTTAGTTAGCGTCAAATGTTAAAAAATGAAAGGTACAAATGGTTTAGGATACTGTCTTTAAAAAAATTAAGCTTACAATGTTCGAGTTGGTGATTGCTACTTCGCACGTCTGCCCAGAATCAATCTTACTCTGACATCACGCTATACTTTGCAACCTACGCTGTGTCCCGTCAGTGTTGTGTTCCAATTAACCAAAATTAAATTTAATATGTATATTGGTATGGTATGTATTTATCAAATTGACAGAAATGAGTCATCACATCGTTCAACAACAAAAGAAGAAAAGTCGAAGCAGAGGACAACGTCAGCAGAAGCAGAAGTAAACAAGCGAGCAACAACAAACTTACGTGTAGGCGTCAGCGAACGTAGGGACAGCGAAGGAAAGCAGAATAGAAGGTGAGAGTGTACCATTTAAAAAACACCATCTGTCCAAATTGTTATTCACCGCTACATTAATATTATATATAAAGAGGAAATGTTGTATAAATAAAATCGGCGGTAAATTCTATAAAGTTCCAAACTGGCGCTCCAAGTGATAAAAATACTGAATCCATTAACGGCAACAGATTTGCCTTGTGGAGTAACAAGTCAAACGACGCTACGGAGGGTACCACCACAGGCCACAATGCCAAGCCACCTCCAATATATTTTCCCGAACGCTGCTCTAATGCTATTGTGTACAAACTAATATCGCAATTCAGTAAGCACTATTCTAATCACTATTGAGACATTTGGAAGTCTCAATTTGTGACAAGCTACTATTCACGATACAATCTCCAGTCTTTAGTCACAAAATGTTGTCTCAAATTTGTCATTTGACAGTAAGCAGGTCACAAAACTAATAAGAATTTTTGTTTTCCATTTTGAATATAACGACACTTCACTTATAGAGCTCATTATGGATATTTATCTATTGTCGGTTTTTATAGTTTTGAAGAACTCAAACACGTAAAAATTAAAAAAAAATTAAAATAAATTTCGTAACTATTGTGATTCAAAGTCAACATTTAATTTTTATTTTTATTGGTAATTATGCTTTTTGACTGCGTTATGGAAAAACTTAATATTTTTTTATCGACATTTTATTTTCATTTAGATTAGAAAATTATCTCTAAGTTAAAATCTCAAATTAAGAGACTTATGACTGTATCAAAGTACTGGATTCCGATTTAAGATAAAAGAAATACATCCGATTCACAATTTAAAGTTACCGTTGATTATTATAAACAATAATATATTTTATTAGGAAAAAATACATGCATATTAATCCTAGTAGTAGGAAAGGATATTTAATAATGTTTGGTATTTACCAAAATTAATTTGTTTTTCCTAATACTGTCTAAAGCTGTGCAAGTATTGCATATGTGTTCCATGGATAATATAGTGACCAGCACCTTCTCAACGGCAGCCCAAAACCCTCTGTGTTGAGAAGTGATTTGCGTGTGCTCGATCTTTAAAGGTGGAAAATTATTGCTTGCTGCTGTGAGATGTTGTTGTGGTAGCATTTATTTTAACGTAGTTGGTATTTGTGTTGAGATTTCTTCCACTCTGCAACCTTGTTTTCATAAATATGTCGGCTTAACATTTTTCTGAAGTCATTTTAGTATTCGACCTCGTTAAGAAACGTGGAGGTAGATTCAAAGAACCTTGCCGCATTGCAATAATCTGAAGACAGCGGCGGCGGGTAGACTTAAGTGAAAATTCCTTTTGTGTTTTGCTGCAAGAGTTTGAGATTTATGGATGCCAGTGTTTGGAGAATTAAGTATATTTGAAAAAAGTTGTATCGTTGTTTCGTATATTCTTTCATTTATTGACGGTAAGCCACTTTCCCCTAAGATACATTTTGTTCGTGATGTAGGAAACGCGTTTAAGCTAGAACGAATTGCAGCGTGGTACGCGGCCTCCAACTGCTTTATATCGGTTTTCCAATAAGGATGGTATAATTTCTAAGTGTCGTTTCGTCCATTTTTAATATGTTAACAATTTCATCATGGAATGGTATACGCACGGCCAACGTTTACAAATTACTAAATTTTATTATAAAAATAATCGTTCTCCAAATGAAACTTTTCGTGTGCCTTTGCACTCACTCTCAATCTCACTTTCATCTGAGTAGTGCGGTGAATAAACAAAACTGTCGATTCCGGTGCGAAGAAAATCCACAAATTATTTATAAAAACCATTAAATTCACTTAAATAATCAGCTTTCGTGTCGTTTTTGGTCTGGTGGAATCATCGGTCCGTGTTTCTTTGGAAATGAAGCTGGTGACACCGTTACTGTCAATGAATGTATAGATCACCAACTTTTTAAGACCGCAATTAGAAGAAGTTGATCTTGACAACATCTGGTTCCAAGATGGGGCTACGTGCCACATAGCACATGCAACAACCGAATTATTGCGAGAAAAGTTTGGAGACTCAATAATTTGAAGAAATTGTGACATTGAATGGCCTCCAAGAAGGTATGATTTAACACCATTACACTTCTTCTTCTGGGTTATTTAGAGTCATTGGTTGTTTGTATCACCTAAAATTAATCGAGTTAGATATAGGCTTATATATATATAAATGATCAGGATGAAGAGACGAGTTGAAATCCGGGTGACTGTCTGTCCGTCCGTCTGTCCGCCCGTCCGTGCAAGCTGTAACTTGAGTAAAAATTGAGATATCTTTATGAAACTTGGTAAACATGTTTCTTGGTACAGTAAGTCGGTTGATGTTGCAGATCGGCTAAATCGGACCACTGCCACGCCCACGAAACGCCATTAATCCGCAATAAGATATAAGACTGTTATTTGGTACACAGGATCACATTAGGGAGGGGCATCTGCAGTTAAAACTTTTTTTTTAAAAGTGGGCGTGGTCCCGCCTCTAATAGGTTTAATGTGCATATCTCCTAAACGGCTAATGCTATAATAACAAAATTCACTGAGAACAAATGCTTTTAGCACCTCTACCCACAGTGTGAAAATAGTTGAAATCGGGTGGCAACTTCGCCCACTCTCCATATAACGGTACTGTTAAAAACTACTAAAAGCGCGATAAATCAAGCACTAAACACGCCAGAGACATTAAATTTTATCTCTGGGATGGTATGAGATGACTTTATAGGAACCGCGTTCAAAATTAGACAGTGGGCTGTGCCACGCCCACTGTCTAATATTAGGTGAAAACACATATCTTGAGATCTGCTTAACCAATTTCAACAGAATTCGGTACATAACGTTATTTTCATATTTCTATGTTATAGTGCGAAAATGGACTACAACCACGGCTATTTCCCATATAACAGCATTT